AGTGTAGGCTGTTTAATTTGAATCTTGGACCTGCAGGACGATGGGAGAGCAGATCCCTTCCAACACCAGTAGGACTCCTGAACATGTGTTTGTACTGCTGGTCGTCGGGGACACATAAGTATAAGATTGCATTGCGAGGGAGGTCTCCACTTGGATTGGAAGCTGGGGTCAAGAGACACGAGTAGTCAGAGTGCATTCACTGTCACAGCTGTGCTTCAACATCGGAGGACCAGCCACAAGACGGTCATCAGCAGGACTTCCGACTGTGTGTGTGTGTGTGTGTGTTTGCGTTCATGTCATGTTGACTGTCAAGTTCCACAAACACCTGACGTTCACAGGATCCCTGATGGGAGCTGCAACAATGGGGTCGTGACCGTGACCTCCAGCAAAAGTCGGTCGCCTGTTTTTTCTGTCGTGTCGTCGTTTGCGACAGCGCTTGCGGGACCGACAGTCGCAGAAGACGGGGCAGCTTCGGTTTAGATTTGTTTGGAATAAGTTAAGTCAGTCAGTCAAGTCTTAATATACCGACTTAGTCAATGAAACTATGCAACACTTCTCATTGAGTTGCCATTAATGGACACATTCAGAATTCAGCTCTTCAAATGAGAACCTACCATGGCCGGTCCCGTCTTCAGCTCGAATCGACTCGGATCAGAGCAGAAACCGACGGTCGTGCAATGATGGCAAAACAAGTGCAGCTCATGCATCATGGGTGCCACCTCATTTGTTTACAGCAATGATGCATTTTCCCGTGGACAGGCTTTCGGCAACATCTTCATGACCTGCCACATCCCTGGATGCAGTGGGTGTTCCGGTATTTACCTGTCTACTTTTTGCTCCAAGGCGAGAGCTTCACATGGGGCCGGTCAGTGTCCCGCATGAGGCGGATTCGTGAGGTGTAATCATAAATAAATCAGACCGATGGACAGACCACCGACGTGGCAGGCCGGCCCGGCGACGAGTCGGTCGTCCAGCACTAAGTCAACGTTTCATCTGAGGATCACAGAGCCAAGTCAAGATGCATTGTTTGGCACCTTGAGCCAGGCTAGCCGAGGCCATCGGGGGATCTCGTCAAAATGACAAGATCCCCCAATGGCCTCGGCTGAGCGACGGTCTGACACAGTCCAGGAGGACTGCTGGGTTTGATGCTTTGATTCACAAAGGTTCCAGTGCAGTTCACGCTTGTCCTTTTTAGAAATAATAGACAGAGCCCTATAAGTTTACCTATATCCCTTAGTAGGAATTAATTATTCAAGAAGGTCTACTAGCCGGTCTGTTCTGTTTATTCTTTCTGGGGGAAACCATGAACATGGATAATGCTGGTGCAGTTCAGGTGCAGTTGAGGTGCAGTTCAGGTGCAGTTCAGCGTTCGTGCTATTATAGATTGGTGCAGTTCAGGTGCAGTTCAGGTGCAGTTCAGGTGCAGTTCAGGTGTGGTGATGCTGCACAACCATATGTGAGGTATACAAATCATAAAATAGTAAAAGGTATGCTGTATTACACAAAAAAGACACGAATGAACTTACCAGGATCTCTGGTCTGGTCAGAGTAAGACTACTTGGCCGGTCCCTGCCCATAGCATCACACAGTTTTGGCTTAAATACATCGGCTCTAGTGATAGTGACAGTCACTATCTTGCAACATATATATATATATATTTAAGCCAAGGTGCTCCGATTGATCCATAAAGCTTCTCTGCCACATCTTGGCGACACCTGGTCAGGAAGTGTTGCCGGTCGAGCTCCTCGGGTGCTCTGGGAGGCATAGACCTGGATTGAAATTTTCAGTCCAGGTCTATCACCTCCCAGACCACCCAATCTAAATCTTCATGGCTCAGGGTACAGGCCTCAGTGTCGGTCAGCATTCAATAATGCTGGACACTGCTGTAATGATTGACTTAGCAACACCTGGTCAGGAAGTGTTGCCGGTCGAGGAGAGCTATCGACAGGTGTCCTCAACCCTTCGTCGGCACCGCTCAGCCAGTCGACTACGACTGGCTGAGTGGCGCCGACGAAGGGTTGAGGAGCTCCTTGGATGCTCTGGGAGGTCGGGCTCCTGTAGCAGTAACAGGTCCATGCCAATTTGAGATCCCAGTCACCTTAAGTATTGAGGTCCAGGCAGAAGCAGATCTACTTTCTTTGCCGGTGGTGTTCTCAGACACATGCGTGGGCAGTGTACTTTCGAAAGTGTTATGTGTGTGTTCGCTCAAGGTCTATCACCTCCCAGACCACCCAATGTAAATCTTCATGGCTCAGGGTACAGGCCTCAGTGTCGATCAGCATTCAATAATGCTGGACACTGCTGTAATGATTGACTTAGCAACACCTGGTCAGGAAGTGTTGCCGGTCGAGGAGAGCTACCGACAGGTGTCCTCAACCCTTCGTCGGCACCGCTCAGCCAGTCGAACTACGACTGGCTGAGTGGCGCCGACGAAGGGTTGAGGAGCTCCTTGGATGCTCTGGGAGGTCGGGCTCCTGTAGCAGTAACAGGTCCATGCCAATTTGAGATCCCAGTCACCTTAAGTATTGAGGTCCAGACAGAAGCAGATCTACTTTCCTTGCCGGTGGTGTTCTCAGACACATGCGTGGGCAGCGTGCTTTGGATACTGTAACTAGCTATGACTTCATGATTCATATTTGCCAAGGTCGGTCGCCTACCATCACCATCTGGTCAGACACCATAGAACTGGACTCCAGCTCTATGATGTCTGATCAGCGGGTGCCGGTTGGCCTGGTCCTCATTGGTTACCTGCAGTTGTTGGGCACAGTCACAGTCGGTCTATGTCTATGATGCCTGCCATGCCACAAAGCAATTTCAGCTTCACGAGACTTGCCGGCCCCACTCCCCGTCGCTATGGCCAAGACAGGTTATGTCGGACTGTCGGTCGACCAGTGGGAGCACTGGCTCTGGAACCCAGTTCCCGACGTCCAGGCCTATTTCTCCCCATCGGTCGCTGTCTATAAGGCTATCGCTGGTGTCGGTCGCAGGTGCCTTGCTGCTGTGTTTCAGTTCATTTATCATGACCAGCGAGGATGCAGTAGTGTAGGTCGTCCTTAGTTCTGAACTGCCCGGTCGGTCAGGATGCAATACCAGCTTTCCGACACGGATCCCATTCCGGGGCCGATGTACCAACGGTCGAAGCACAAGGAGCAGGCCCATCGTGTTTCGGCTGGGGCACAATCATGTGTGTTACTGATAACGCCGGTCGGGAAGATGAGGTCAAACTTCTGTTGACCCGGTTCGTGGTCGTGCTGGAAGTGCAGGTCGATGAGTTCCAACTGGCTATGGAACAAGGGTCGGTCAGACCATGCACCAACGACGGCTTCGTCGTGAGGAACCTCGACTTGTCGGTCGAGAAGCACCTCAAAGTCACACGCATGGACGCCCGCCTCGAGGTGGAGGCGTTGCCAAGTGACGTGCCGGTCGACAAGCCTGCTTTCGTGTTCTACAAGATCTCCGATGATGTGACGGAGCTGTCGGTCGTGAAGAAGCTGCTGGCCAACAGCATCAACAAGCCCCGAGGGCAAAAGCGGCCTTCCTCCACAGTCGGTCGGGGTGGCACTGGATATATGTATTTCAGTAACCCGACGAAGGCTGCGCTGATGTGTTGGCTGGCAGGTGGCGGCACGGCGGTCGATGTGCGGCTGAGCTACTATGGAGTGGGCATGCTTCCAGCTGGACTCCTTCACTATGATGAAAGCATGTCGCCGGTCTGTGTGCTTTGGTGGCATTCGATTCAGTGATGTTGCAGTTGCATGATTTCTAATCCTGCAGTTGCAATCTACAGCATAAGCTGTCTGCTCAGGACTACTACTACGCGCCGACGCTTCCCCAGATGGGCGTTGAGTCGGTCGCCGCGGAGTACAAGGTCATGGTTCAGTTCAGCAACAAGGTGCCGGTCGGTGACTTCGTGAAGTTAAAGAACCTCGAGACGCTGAAAGAATACATGTACCAGAACGATAAAGAGTTGGAGGAGCTGAACAGTCGGTCGTCAACTCTGCTCGCGATACAGAAGAAGCTGGTCGCAGAAATGGATGAGATGCTCGCCAAAGAGTCGGTCGTGGATCTGGCGGGCAAGACAACGGTGTCGGTCGAGGATCTGGCGGGCAAGACAAAGCAGCCACTCGTCATGGAGTCGGTCGAGGAAGATGTTGCAGGCAAGACAAAGCAGCCGCTCGTCATGGACCAGGTCGCTGAGTCTAGCTGATGTCCACCACGCCGGTCGAGTCAAAGGCCTTTTTCCTCACTCTAGCAGGCAGGCTGGCCCTGGCAGTTGTCGGTCAAATAATGACAGACCATCATGATCATGACGATAGTGTTTTCTGAATGCCAGATGCAGCCTGTCCTGCCAGCTGTCGGCCATGCCATGTGTGCATAGAGCCACAGTCGTCTGTCGGTTTCAGCAGCCAGCGAGACATGTGTTTAAAATGTGAAGCACGTGAGAGGGCATGCCAGTCGACTTAGTGTTCGAGATTGAGTGCAGCATACCTGACTTTGTTTGTTACCTGTTGGTTCTGTCATGTAGTCAAGTTGTTGACTTGGTAGCACAATGCATGCCAGCCTGGCGGTCCATGGTGCATTCCAGCGCATGGCACATGCTTTGGAATCCACTCTGGGCTGCATTTGGTTCGGAACCCCCAGGATCGGTTGCTAAGGCTTGTAGCCCCAAGTTACCAGTTCAGACATCGGTCGACAGCCCGAGCCAGAGATGACCTCCAAGGTTGAATACATGCCTTCACTAAGTTGAACCCAAAGGATGCTTTGCTAAGGCTTGTGGTCCTATCTTGGGGGTTAAAGTCGGTCTAGTGCTGCATCGTCCTAGGTCGGTCCCACTCTGACACATATGTTGCAGCACCTTAGCCGGTCGTGCATGCTCTTCCAGTTGAACCAGCAGAATAGGTTGCTAAGCCTTGTGGGCCTATCTTGTGGGTTCAACATCGGCAGGCCGGTCGATGATCTTGGAAGCACATCTCTGAGTGTCGGTCGTGCCGTTGCCTACCTGGAGTTTGGGCTTACAAGCCTTAGCAACCGATCCTCGGGGTTCCGAACCAAGTCGGCCGGTCGAGCCATGTCCAAGAAAGCAGGCACTCCTGCTTACGCGCCGGTCTACGTGGAGAGCAAGCTCTTAAAGCTTGACGACGTGTCGGTCGCCCATGATTCCGGCCATCGGGACGTCGATGAGGATCGTGTCCTGGAGTTGTATGAGAAGGTGATTTTGGCCGGTCGTTGGGGCCAGGCTTCGTTGTCCCGACCGAAGCTGAGGCCAGTCGAAAAGTTTATTTTCTCGTGCTTGGTAGTTCACTCTTGGGTTTCGCAGGTATGATCCTGCTGGTCGTCCTATGGCCGCATCTGATGGCCGGTCGAAGCTGGCAGATGGCAAGCACTGTATCGCAGCGTTGAAGATACTTGACGACGTGTAGTTTGTCGGTCCAATTCCACGTTCTGGTGTGCACTGGTTTGTCAGCTGGTCAGAAAAGAGTCGGTCGAAGTCCACGGTTTTCATTTCCCTTAATTTTAAATTACTTTCTGACCGAGGAAAGCTGCTGAGACGGTCGCTCAGTCCGATGATGCAACGCAGCTCGAGTGGTACACAGGTGAGATCAAGGACATTCTGACGGTCGGAATGCGTTTTGATTGCATCAAATTCTCGGATGATGATGAGGCCAGGGATGTGCAGTATGACTAGACACTCATGACGGTCACTAGTTACTCCTGTGTCAGGCGGCGGTCAAGCTCTTCTACACCATGGCCCATGAGCAGGAGGCCAACAAGTTGCGGACGACGTCGGTCGAGCACAAGATCAAACTTGTGCGTGCTTATGTCGCCAAAGTTCCTGGCGGTCTGATAAAGGACAGTCGGTCGACCACCTGTTTTGTTGCTGGCCCTGAGTCTCATCTGTCAGGACGCCGAGAACGCCATGGTGGAAATTTTGGGCAAGTCACGCCGGTCAACAATCCACAACTGGTGCAAAGCGACTGCAGTGTTAAAAGAGCCGGTCCTGATCAAGCTGAAGGAGAAGCCCGACCTGCCACAGGGACTTGTTTTCACGAACAAGTACTTCGTCGGTCAAGGAGAAGAGACACGTAACTCGGCGGCATGCCATGCTGTTAGGTTTCCCTGCATTGTTGGTCGCGGAATGCAGTTGGCTCAGGCTTCCTCCTGGAACCCGAGCAGCAGATTGCTGCTCTGCAGCTTTTCTATGACTTCTGTGACGGTCGCGGGACGGTCTCTTCCATACCGACCTTCATGTCTGACTTTTGTGCCCCAATGTTGAAGGCACAGTTGTGGTGTCAGTTGGTCATGAAGAAGTACTCGTCGGTCGTGAGCCGCCTACCAGCGTATGACCGCTGTCAGAAGATGCTGTGGAGTGAGCGTGGACGGTCGCGCATTTTGAGGCTTGCTAGCACTATGAACTATAACTGACATTCAGTGCCATGTCTCATTATTTTGGTGATGGGGTTGCCAAGGACGTGCATGCGTCTTGGCGTCGGTCTGTCTGGTGACCCGAAGATCGAGGGCAGTGGCATCCCTGAGTGTGTGTCGGTCCTCCAAGGGTTGAAGAATCTGGCCGCTGGTCGTGCAGTGGATGAAGCCGAAAGTGCTGTGGATGCGGCCAAAGCAACGGTCACAGAGCACAAGCTGGTCGTTGAGGGGGGAGACGACGAGTCTGGGATCTTGGCTGACGACATCACGATGGAGGCCCCACTGGTGGAGAAGGATCCTGTTCTTGAAAAAGCTGAGGAGCTCGGCTTGTCGGTCCGCTCCAACATTCATCTGTTTCATGACATGAAGACCTTTGGTGATGGCTTCGTCGGTCTATGCCGGGCGACGACCCGTGGCGGCATTTACATCGATGAGGCCACGTCGAAGGCCAAGATCATTTTGGGGGACATGGCAGAGTTGTGGAAGGTCGTCACGTCGGTCGTAGATCGGCAATACGTGTCCATGGGCATCTTCTGTGGAAAGCGCCACGACTTAGTGACGTTGGTCGTGAACCTTGGATGGCACAGAGTTCTTTCTAGACTTGTCGGTCGACTGCTGTGCTCAGCGTTGCTTCGGCTCAAGTCCAAAACGGCCGGTCGACCTTCATGGGTCGAATCAGTAACAAAAGCCTCGGGCTGAAGAGGGTGGCAGGGCCCTATGCCCGTTACTGTGCGACGGTCGCCAGGACAGGGACGGTCGACCCTCCATTGAAGCGCCTTCGAGTCAAAACCTTCTTGAAAAACTTAGATCAGAGCCGGTCGCGATGGAAGCAGATGTCAAAAAAGGAGAAACAACCCTTTGTGGACGCGGCGGTCAAGGATCACAGAAAGCACAACGCCCTCAAGAGGGAGCTCGCTCATCCTCCAGTGGAAGTCGACTCGCCGGTCAGAGACCCGAAGCCTGAGAATGATAGTGACCAGCAGCCACCGGTCGATGAGAACCTCGTCAATGAATTGAGGTTCTCCTTTGAAGGCATGGCACTTTCCAGTCGGTCGACCCTGGGACAAGGCGCCCATGGCACAGTTTACCGCTGTGAAAACTTGATGGGAACGGAGTTCGCAGTGAAGCATCTTGGCTATTCATTTTATTATTAAGGTTCATGCGATTGAACAATCATGAATGAATGAACGAATGATGTCTTTGTCGACTTTGGGTTTAGTGCTGCATCTTGTCATGTCGAGGTTGCCGGTCGGCAGCAGGGACGTGAAGAGGGAGCTAGACGTTCTCCTCAGTCTACGCCACCCAGCCATCCTGCATTGTTATGGGCCAGTCATGTCGGTCGACGGAGGTCTCGTGGGCCTTCTTTTGGAGTATGTGCCGGTGACATTGGACGCTTGGCTGAAGACGCAGCCCAAGGCCGCAAAGTGCCCACACAAATGGCATCTGATGGTCGATCTTGCACATGGACTCCAGTATCTGCACTGTCACAAGCTTGTGCACTGTGATGTGAAGCCACAGAACATACTTGTCGGTCCTGCCCCCCATGTTCGAGCCCGCTGGGCAGACTTCGGCCTCACTGAGCCGGTCGGGACAGCTGTCTATGGTGACGAGGTGTACTCTGCAGCGTACAGACCTCCGGAGCTTAGCGGGTCACAGGAACCCGGTCGTAGCTTTGCTGTAAGGGTGAGGTTGGCACCCACAGCTGATCTTTGGGCGGTCGGGTGTCTCTTGTTTGCGATCTTCACAACATCGACACTGTGTCATTTGTTTGTCACAGTGAAGGTGCTGTATGACATGTCCTTCATCAATTCCCGAATTGATAAGAACGTGCCGGTCGTCTCTGGCGCTCAAGAAGACATAAGAGCTTTCTTGAAAAAGCTGCCGAACGAGCGACAGCAGCTGAGGCTTTTCATTATTGCTGCAGAGGAGAAGTACAGACACCACGCTGGTCGTTGAACCGCCAGTCGTCGGGTGTCAAATTTCTGTGTGAAGGGGCATGCAGGAAGCCAAAAAAAGATTTAAAGCATCTGCAGTGGCAATCGTGGTCAGTGCAAGTTTTGGGGTGCGACAATCCAATTGGTCGGTCGATGCAACACTACAGCTAAGGAACCAGCTGCAGACGATGATCCCAAACCGTGAGGCGTACGTCATCACCTTCACTGCCGGTCCAGAACAGTCCCGGAATCGTCGACCGACTTACATGGTCTATTCACAGTCGGAGTTGTCGGTCTCTGCGAAGGAGGTGGTGCCGAGCCATGTGACTGTCAACAAATGCCGGTCATTTGCCTATGAGAAGTTACAGATGCGCTGCACCGACTACAATTGTGCCTTTGAATTAAATTAAAAGAATCCTTGAAACTAGACTAATGGCCCCACTGCCCACACTAACCCACACTCCTACTGAGGCAAGCTCAGGCCGTGCAAACCCATGACAGACATGCCGGCCCATCCCACAGAGGACCTTTGTGGGGGGCAGGGCGGCAGGTGCAGGTCAGGTGCAGTTCAGGTGCAGTTCAGGTGCAGTTCAGGTGATGAGGTTTTCTATATTGGTGCCATTCAGGTGCAGTTCAGGTGCAGTCCAGGTGCAGTTCAGGGTTTGATGTGGACGTCATCAATCACTTTACTGAATCTGGGAGGAGTTGCCGGTCAGTGACCAAGAGCAGCCAGAGGATAGCAAGACGTTGGACACCACAGAGGAAGCCGGTCCTGACACACAGGCGGTCGAAGCGTCCGTCGACAAGAAGTATCCTGTGGATTTGTGGTTGGTGGCCAAATGCTGGGATCACCATGCGTCGGTCGTGCGAGAAGTCTTCCGTGGTGATCAGTGCAGGTGGATGGCGGTCTCCACACGCACAGCCCATCCTTCCATCTTCGTTGGGGTCCAGTCGGTCGTCTCCACAGTCATAGGTATGGTTCGTGGGCCGGTCGAGCATCTTGCCGACAAAGCATGAAACGTGTGTCAACCAAAAGCTTTTCGCAGGAATGCATGTTAAGCTCAGGCACTCCATGGCACATGGCCGAGTCTTGCTCGACGACATGTGCACCGCCCTGAAACTGGATGAAGCTAGCCGGTCATTGAACTTGAAGCGCAAGGTGACAGACATCCCGTGTGTGCCGGTCTTTAACCCCTATGCAGCAGAGGGCTCAGTGTTCAAGCTGTTGGAGATTCCGGTCGAGAGCACCTGGCGAAATGGTGTTTTGGCTTGAGTTCTGACTGACCTTCATGTCATGCATTGATCGATTATGATAGGACGTGTGCAATTCCGAACTGAGGTATCAACAAGTCGGTTGCCAACTACAATGACATGGAGAAGAAATGCAACGATCTCACACATGAGGAGCTGGTCAAGTATGACCTGGGATTGTCGGTCATCGACGGTCATGTTGCACTCATCACGACTGTCCCTAAAAAGGAGGGGGACTTGATATGCACATGCAGTGCTTTGCATTTCGACAACATGGCAAGCCTCTTGTCGGTCGTGAACTCCGACAAAGTGAACCTCGCCAAGAATCCTGTGCTCAGGACGGACTGCGTCGGTTTGACAGAGGATCGCTCCTCGTCGGTCTGGTCACTGTTAATTGGGGCTGCTAGCCACGTCGCCCCGCTCAGTAAAGCCGCAAAGCGAGCAAACGCGGCCTTCAACTTTGACATCAGCCAGGGCGCCTCTGACGGTCTCATCGCATTGGTCGTCAAGACACGGAATGGGTGTGGCATTGCTGCAAAGTCGGTCGTGTCGGTCGACCTGGGTCCAGACTATGATCCGCCACCTGGCTGCGATAGTTAGGTTGCTGTCGAGTCCATTGCTTGCTGATGCAGCACGTTTATTATTACTCTGACAGGTCACAAGCCACGCCGGTCGAGCTCGCTGCCAGCAAGAAGCAGTTCATGGATAAGTGGTTTCAGGAGCCTGTGAATGAGCCGCCGGTCAAGGAAGAGACAACAGTGGAGCCAGCTGGCAAAAACCCCGAACCTCAGAGGCCAAGGCCAAGCCTTCGC